GGCACTGGAATCATTCAGTCTGGGTCTTACCTCTGATACAACTAGTGCATGTTGGGTAGGGATGTAATTGCTTCATTTCTCCAGGTCTCATTTTCCTTGTCAATAACATGGAAATGATAACGTGACAAAATTCCAAGGTTGTAGGGATAAAATGGGTTAGTGCATACAAAGTATTTAACATACTGCGTTATCTATTCTAAGTTCTTGATGAAAATCATGAGGATAATCATGTCACCAATATTACTGTGATCCATACTTACACATAAGTGTTTTATTTGTACAAATTTCTTTCTTCCACACAACAAATAAGGGAATTATTATTATTGTTCCTGTTTTTACGATCAGAGGCAAATGAAATTGACTTAATTTTCTAAGGTTACAGAGCTATAAAAAGGCAAAGTTAAGATTCAGATCCAGAGAATTTGGCTTCAGAGCCCATGTTCCTTCTTAACAAGTGGGCTATGCTACCTATCTAGTATATTAATTAATACATTTTAGTCATTATTGGCATTATTTTATTAGGCTGTTTTACAGGTTAGTTTTAAAGTAATCATTCATATGAAAAGTTTTATATGTTTTCAATGGTGTTTCCATGTTGGTCAATAGCAACAAAGATCTGGAAAGTAGGAGTACCTTTAAAAAACTACTTATAGTTTATGTTATAAATAGTTTCTAATTTGTTTTAAAATTTACTTTAAAAATTTAAAGGGAGAGGGAGGGAATATAGATGCTAGGTACATATACATGAGCAATAAAGTATTTTCAATAATGGTATGTTATGAAACCTAAAATAAAATTAAATTGCTATCAATGGAACATTTAAATGCACAGGAAGAGTTAACATCTAATAACTATATTATGTGTAGAGAACTTGTTTATACCTGGAGCAAAGTAATAAGAAAATACAGGCTTTATTCCTACCTTCTAAAAGTTTAAGTATTGAAGCAGAAATGGAATATATACCTATATAACATTTACATAAAATTCCAGATAGTTTATGCTCTTTCTTAGCACCAGAACAGTGCCAGGCATATGGGAGATTCTCAAACATTATCAAGTAAATGAATGTATTCATGGGTAGTACAGGCTGCAAATGCTCTAAGGATTCAGAGTGATGATATTGTGGGCTGGAATAATAAAGGAAGATCTGAAACTGGATTTTGAGAAGGACTTGAATCTGAATAGATGAAGAATGGGGTTAAAATGAACTTGACATACCGAAGGGACAATGAACAGATTGGCTTTAAATGAGGGTAAGATAAAATCAGAAACTTTGGGTATTGTCAAATTGTTGGCACACTCTTTTGTTAGGCACAAGTTTAAGGAAAGGGACTGTGTATCTTTCATATTCCTTGCACAAGGTTCTCACACGTAGGATGGCCTCAAATATTCGTTGACTACCTGAAAGACACAGACAGACAGGCTTACTGATTCATTAGTGGAAAGCTTCAAAAGCTAGCTCCAATATCTTAGTCTTCAGGAAATGACAAAATTGATGTTTAGGAACACTCAGTTGTAATCAGAGTATAGAATGCCAGATGCAATGGGGGAAGATCAAATATGATAGGAGACTGAGAAAGAAATGAGCCAGCTGGGAATGAAAAAGAATGAAGCTTTTAATAGTACTATGGAGAACAAATAGCTGAGAATTCCGTTTCCCTTCTTTAACTCTGTCTAGGGTCAGGTTCCCTAGAAGCAGAGCCTAAGGAGGGGAGTTTTGTGCAAAAGACTTAGTGCGGGAATACTCTTAGGTGAAAGCTGGAAGTGAGTGAGGGAAGCAGCATACAGTAGAGGAAGAAGCCTGGCCTGTTTTGAGCTGAGGTCTAGCCCCAGCCTGGAATGGGAAACACACTACAGAGTGAGGAACACGCCACCAAGAGTTGCCCCTCCTTGAGGCAAGGAGACTGGTTATTGTGTCCCCAGTCAGTCAGTCATTGGCTGGGGGCTGCACCTCGAGAGGAGGAAAGAAGTCATCACTCACAGGCAGTTCCTGGCTAGGTTACTGGTTCCTCTCAGCCAAGGGTAGCTCTCAGGAGAAGAGTGCAGCTGTGAGGTGTCAGTGGCTGGGACTCATCGCAGCAGCAGAATTTAACCCAATGTAAAAAGAATGTGATGGGCGAGGTGCACCACCTCAGTCTACGCTTTGCCATAGTTTCTTCTTCATACAGTGCCCTGCTGAGAACCTTCCAGAATAAAATCTGAAGCCTGTGTCCTGGCCTCCACAATCAGGCCACTTTCTACATACAATTGTACTTGATCCATTTACAAGCTTTATTTTTCTTTTTCAAACACTCCAAGCTCATTCTCACCTCAGAGACTTTGTGCTTGTGTTTCATTCTGCCTGGAATGACCTTACCCCGGATTTTCATGACCAGCTTCTCATCATAGAGGCCTTCCCATCTAGATGTCACCTCTTTAGAGCGGCTGTTAGGTCTGCCTCTTCCCCAGGGGCTGCAATCTGCACATGCTTTTCTGTCCTGTTCACAGCTACCACCCTGGTACATAGATGAGTGGGCACCCAACAAGTATCATTGAATTAATAAACAATTGGCTGAAGAGATGCGAATAGTAGGTAAGGATTGAAGATCTCTCTGAGACAGTGGATAGAAATAGGAAATGTGAAGTGTGCATACATTTGTGTGGAAAGATGTTAAATTTTGCTTTAGGTATATTGAATTTGAGATAACAACAGATAAATATATGGTAGAGACAGAATAGTATAGTGACTAGGGGCACAGTTTCTAGAATGAAATTCACAGTCCAGCTGCAAGATCCCTGGGAAAATGATTGAACTTCTCTGTACCTCAATTTTTTCACCTATAAATGAGAATAATGATATTATCTACCTCATAAAATTGCTGAGAGGACTATAAATTGTATAAACTAGCATTTTGCTAATAGTAAGAATTATTTTAATGGAATTTAAGGAGTTTTACGTATAAAAGAGATAGTCAGGGCCAGGGCTGATACCAGGGTGAGAGAAGCACCTATGAGACAGAATTTAAGGAAGTGCTCATTCTAAGATCTGTGTCCTTGCACTACTCTGAGTATGCACTCTTAAATGTTGCATATTGGGCCCTTCATTTACCTCACTCTAATCCTGCCTCTTTTCTAAACAATCAAAGGAGGAAACCCTTTATTGGTAAGATTCTATAAATCACCTCCTCCCTCTGGCCTTGGCTTCTTGCTGTTGGTAATCTTGGGGTTGCCTCACTGTCCACTGGTTGCTTCTTGGTATTTTCCATCACTTACACAATCACTTCTCTGCAGTCAGTCCCCTTGGTTCAAATGCTCTGGGTAGATTCTGTTTTCCTGGTTGGACCCTGACTGATGTAATGAGTAATATACTTTAATGCTCCGTACTAAGCATAGGATTTCAGGGGTATGGGGAAAGAAGCAAACACAAAGTAATGTCAATGTGTTAGGTTCTTTAACCTATAAAATATTTAAGCTTCATCAGGTGATGGAATGGTACTCACTAGATACTCTGTAGATGAGAAATCAGGGATGCAGGGTGGGATAACTCATCTAGGATCACTAAGTAACAGAGCTGAGATTCAAACCTAGTGTTAAGGTTTATAACCTTTCCACCATTCAAAGCATTTAGGAGGCATTCAGGTTCTTGGTAAACTATTAAACCACAAAAATTTATTAACTTTTATTCCCCAGTGAGAGATCTTTAAATTTTATTTTCAGAGATACTATTAGTTTTCTGTAAAAAAATATGTTTTCTTGAAGGCTTAAGCATAACTATAGTTTAATTTATTCTGCAAGTTTTGCTCATATTTCTGCCTTTTGGATATGCCTGTATGCCTGAGTGTGTGAGAGAACATAAAAGAGGTTGAGAGAGAAATCAAGAAGGAGGTAGAGAAAGACAAATGTTTTTGTTTTTTTTTTAAATATCTAATGCAGCCCTTCTGGGACTTAGAAGTTTATTTATAATGACTTGCTCATATTTCATATCAATACTAGTAGATTTTATGTAAAATACTGCTTCTGGGTCAAAGAGGCCATGCTTTCTGCAAGGTGAATTACAATAGAGAAGTGTTAATTGGGAGTGTGGGCGAACAAATGCAGCTATATTCAGTTATATGCGAATACATTTTATTTCTCTCATTAGGACATATAAAGATCAGATGAAAGAGGGATCATTGCACTTTTGTATTTATGTGAAGATAAAACATTATCTAAAATAAATTGAATGCACAAATAAAATACTCAGGTGAAACTTATTTACTTATGAAATGTAGCCTCTTGAAAAGAAAGGAATACTGACAATTATTTAGTATGTGATACTACTGTTCTCAGTACTCTTTTGTTTTCAAAGCCATACATAGTAATTTATTTAGTTGCACTCCCATTAATATTAGTAGGAGTTCTGAAACTTAAATTTCTGTGTGCATCTTTGAAAATGTTTAAGTCAAAGTAAATTGTTAATGCAAACTGGTTTTCATTTTTAGTGAAATAGTTTGAATTTCTCACCAAAAATGTCCTAAAAGGCACCTTCATTCTAGTCAATCACAAGGGGAGTATTACTTATGAAGTTACTGTTTGGAGGTCATCATCTTTAAAGCAACATTGATAATAAATCATATTAAAGAGAAAAACAGTGTTTGCCCAACCCTAAAGAATACAAAAGTTCAGGACCCGTGCTGTTGAATAGTAAGCAAAGGACCTTGACTCTTCCAGCCCAGTTTATCTGATCAGTGATAGAGGCATGCTAAGGTGAATTTTAATTAGAACTAAATAGTGGTATTACTCTTTCATACCCTGAACATCTGTTCCCTTCAGAAATGATGATTTATGCAGGCTATCAGAGCAGACAGCTTGCTACAGCTTATGTCACGGTTAGTGGGAAGCTGGTGGTAGCATTTCAAAAAACCAGCTTCTAAATGAAGACTGGCCAGTGTATATGATATAGGTAATAGGGGGAGGGGAATCGCAATGTGTCCATTTTTAATTTTGGAGCCAAATATTGACTTAAAATTTTTTTCTTCTAGACCATCTGTTGTTAATGAAGAAAGTAACTTGGACAATGAATGGGCTGATGCTTCCTAATGGAGTCAAGAGACAGAAAACCAAGCCTGTTCTTTCTACTAGAATGAAGAAACTTACTGGGAAGACCTCAGTCCGAATTCTGGTCTTTAAGAATGGCATGGGGCAAGATGGGCATGAGGTTATAGTGGGAAAGGAAACAATGAAAAAGGTAATTTTGTATCAAATATTGAAATATAAATTTCAAAGTTTTTATGGCTTTCAAAATGTGTTTTTTCCTTCTAAATATCAATGTCAACTAAAAATTAAATATGAAGAGGGTATTACATAGAATGCAAACATTCAACTGTTTAACAGGGAATATTCTTATTGTGTTAACAATATAAATTAGTTTGGTAAAGAAACTATATTTCAAAAAATTGTTTGGCTAGCGTAGTTGGTAATTTACCTAGTAAAAGTTATGTTTATTTGGTGAAACATTCTAGTTAATTACAATATTTCATAGAATGTGTAGATTGAAGCCAGTCTAACCTAGCTTCAAAACTCAAATCTGCGCCTTTACATTTAGTATAGAATTAAGATCTAGAAACACCTCTGGTTCTCAAGAGAATAAATAAAGTACAGAATAACTAAGATTTAGTTAAAGTATCCCTATACATTTTTAAAAGCAAATTTGATGGGCCTAAGACAAATTCTGTTACTATCAAGCAAACTTTAAAAAACAAGTTTTAAAATTTTAAAGTATTATTACATAATTGCATGTTTTTCAAAAGATGCTTATACCTTCCAGATCATCTTTTATATTAAAACAAAAAGGAGGAACTAATGGAAATTTGAAAAAAAAAAAGTTTTTTGCAGATATTCTCAACTAACCTTAAAGCAGCTTAAAAATAATCCTATTAATAAAGAGGTAATATGCAAATTGACCCTTATGCCCTTACATCACAAGATGTTCTCCCATGTTGTCTCAAGATGGCTGCCTCACATTGTCACAAGATTGCAGCCCATGTTATCACAAGATGGCCACCCCCACATTGTCACAAGATGGCCAGCGGGGGGTGGGGAAGAAGGGCAGTTTGGGGGACCAGGCCTGCAGGAGAGGGCGGTTTGGGGTGATCAGGCCAACAGGGGAGCAGTGAGGTGTCAATCATGAGGCAGGAGCAGTTAGGTGTCAATCAGGTTGGCAAGGGAGTAGTTAGGGTGTTATCAGGCTGGCAGGCAGAGTGGTTTAGGGGCAATGAGGCAGTCAGCAGGCAAGTGGTTAGGAGCCAGCAATTTAGGATTGTGAGAGGGATGTTCAACTGCCAGTTTAGGCTCAATCCCAAGGCATCAGGACTAAACCGTCGGTTGGACATCCCCTGAGGAGTCCCAGATTGGAGAGGGTGCAGGCTGGACTGAGGGACACCCCTCTAGTGCACGAATTTCATGCACTGGGCCTCTAGTAACAATAATAATATTAGTAAATATATATTAGAGATTAAAATATAATAAAACTGTCTAGGTTTTAATCTTCATCATTCGTTATTTATGAGACCTTGGACAACTAACCTTCCCTGAGCCACAATTTCTTCATCTAAAAAAATGGTATAATAGTAATGATACCTCATAAAATTTATAGGAGGATTCAATATGATATTATTTATGGACTGCAATGCCTGGCACCCAGATAGTTCCCAATGAATATTTGCCATTCTTATATTTACAACTTATAAATATACAGTAGTACATCTAATAGAAATTATTTTTCTTACTAATGGGAAATATTTATTATGAAATCAAGATAGATATAAATCATTTTGTTATTTCAATTGTTTCTAAAGTAATTATTACTTGAAACAGATGAGTAGTGTCTTTTTCACTTACCTACTTATTTTTTTTTTTGTGATTGTGTTATAACTACAACTGGGTAAGAACATTTACTGAGAAGCTGGGAAACCAGGTTTTATTTCTTTCTTATCCACAGATTTGGATTATGAGTAAAACAAGGGATATTATGCACCAGAGCAAATTGCAAAGGCAGATTGTAACAACTTCCCTGGAGATTTTGAAAAATGGAGAAGATGGACATGTCTCTTGGATTGTTAAATTGCAGTCATTCTTGGAGATAGAAGCTAGTATAGATAACCTCTTGACTTCAGTTCAGTCTCTGTAATTCTATGCCTTCATGGTAAAATTGGGGTAATGGCCACAGATTATATGTTCTTAGATGAAAGGTTGAGTGTAAATAAAAATGTCACTGCTATTTTGCTCTTTGGCTATAGAGAGCAATTTACTTAAAACTGGATGATCAAGAAATTCTTCAGCTTCTTTTCCTTTTTACCAGTTGTAGAGTTTAAAATAAAGAGTTGTTTCAATTTATAAAACTCAGGGAATGATTCAATGATAACTATATCCTATATAATAAAAGGCTAATATGCAAATTGTCCCCATGGTTTGTTCAACCGGGAGTTAGATGTGCACTGACCACCAGGGGGAGGCATAGAACATGGTGGGCATTGGTAATATGGCACTTGAGGTGCTGCAGACCCCAATGTGCCCTGACAAGAGAGGGACCGCAGCAGGATGGTGGAGCAGGTGAGCAGGCAGTGCCAGGCCAATGTGGGTGCGAGCAAGGGCCCCCGATGTCCAGCTAGTTACCCCAAGGATGGCGGTCAGCGGTAGTGGCCCAATTCCCTCAGGCCACTCCTAGGGACCCCACTCATGAATGAATTCATGCACTAGGCCTCTAGTTTGTAAATCTTTTTCTGATTATCATTTTTAAAAATGAGGTAAAGGAGATAAGGTAACAGAATGTTGGTCTTGGATGTCAATAGAACCTTTTAGAGGGGAAAAATAAGGGTAGCTAATTATTTGTTAAATAAAAATTTAAATTTTAAAGCTTTGTTGATAATCACAGAATAATGCCCTATTTATAGATTTAATACCAAATCAATAATATGAAAACAAGTTGGCATACTCAGGAGAATGATAAATTATTTTCTCTTTTATGACAACACATTAGGAATATTGGAACTAATAACTTTTTTTAGATCACTAAAATTTTTAAATAGTAATTTAGATTACTTAGAAATTTTATATTATCTATATATTAGAGGCCCAGTGTACAAATTCATGCATGGGTGGGATCCCTTGGGGAGGTCTGCTGGGGATTGGGCCCCAGCTTGCGCCCCCAGCCTTGCAGCCCCACAGCCCCACCTGGCACCCCACCTTGGCCTGGTGCCCCCCTTTACCTGCTCCACCATTCCACCTGCAGGGCAATTGCCATCTGTGGGGTGACTGGTAGGGTGATTGGGGGTCCCCACTTGCACCTACCTTGGTCTGTTGCCGCCCACTCACCTGCTGCATCATCCCACTGCAGTCCTGCTCTTGTGAGGACCTGTTGGGGCCAGCAGTGCCTCCACTGCCACCTTCTGCTAACATCGCATCACTGAGCCCCCCATGTTTCTCACCATGCCCTGCTGATAAAAGCATGTCTAATTCCCCGTCAATTGAACTCCTGCATATTATCCTTTAATTATTTATACTAATAAAAGAGTAACATGTTAATTAGATTGGGTCAACTGGCCATCTTCTAGATGTCTGACTTCCTTCTGGACAAAGAAGGAAGTGGGGCCTGAGGCAGAGGCAGTTAGGATCTATCAGGCTGGTAGTGGAGGGCAGTTGGGGATGAGATGAGGCCAGCAGGGCATTAGGGGCAATAGGCTGGCAGGGGAGAGCAGTTGGGGGCAACAAGGCCAGCAGGGGAGGGCCATTGGGGGCAGGCAGGCAGGCAGAGGCATTTAGGGATGATCAGACAGGCAGAGGCAGTTAGGGGTGGTCTGGCAGACAGGCAGGCAGGCAAGCGGTTAGGAGTCAGTGGTTTTATATTAATGATTACTTATTTATTTTAGCCTTTTGTATTCAACCCGTCTCTATCAAAATAAACCTATGTTTCTTTGAAAATTGAATTTTTTTTCCTTTTTTTTTGGCCCACATAAACTTAAATCTTGGTTATTTGGCCCATGTGAGCCTTTGAGTTTGACATGCTTATTATAGGAATGACTAGTGAAAATGAAAGACAAAGTACTTTCAGTTTAGATATGGAATATATTATGTGCTTTTAAATGAATAGGGCGAATTTTATGTTTCGGGAGTCACTCCCAAAATCCTAATGAAACCTGCCCCAGATAACCAGATACTTTCTTTACACCTTCTCTGTTACTTTAATTTTTCTCACTTGTGAGTAAAACTTTCTAACTTTTGCTTGTTTAAGTCTTTCCTGATCTTGGAAAGGTGATTGTCTGACCTTTACAAGGGCTACATGGAGACATTAAAATATTAAGGAAAGAGCTTTAGCAAATTAGAGACTATGAAAAGTGAGGTTCTTGGGACCCAAGCTGATAGAAAACCTTGAATGTGGTTTATTAATTTCATATTTTAGTACCCAAACAACATAAATTACAAGGTGAACTGTGATCAGACTATATTTGTAATTTATTTTAGGACACTTAGAAAGAATTTACACTAAAGAGAGTACCTTAAAACCTAATTTAAAAAGTAATATGCTAACTTTGTCAAACAAATGGAAAATATAGAAAATAGTAAGAATAATAGAAAAACCCTCCCCAGGCTTTTTCCATTTATTAAGTAGTATTAATACTGGCTGCATCTCCCTTCTCTTTTTTACTAGTACTTGTGTGTGTTTAAAAAAAAATAGTTTTAACTCTCTTTTTATTTCATATATTAGAAACTTTTTATAAATCATTAAATTTCATTTGATAATATAATTGTTAATCATCATGAGTATAGAAATGACTCTAAATGTGTATTTAATTTAGCCAGAGTTCACTGTGATAAATTATTTATAGGATTTTTTTTCCTGTTTAGGTTTTAGATACTTGCACAATGAGAATGAAACTAAATTCACCAGCCAGATACCTTTTTGATTTGTATGGCAGAAAAATTAAAGATATTTCAAAAGGTAAGTGGCAAAGATTTTGTAAACTAGAAGCTAATGTTATGAAAGGAATTTATATAATTTGTTTTTACTTTATACATTTAAAAGGAAAACATATAATAAAACAGTTTAATTATTACATGAATAATATATCTTTCTTGTACAAAGGGAAATCATGAAAGGGTATTAAGATTTGGGAAATCTTTTATTTTGGCATGTTAGTTCACTTGGGGTACTATAATAAAAATACCATAGACTGGGTGGCTTAAACAGCAAATATTTATTTCTCACAGTTAAGGAAAATGGTACCAAGATCAAGGTCCCAGTAGATTCATTGTCTGTTGAGGGGCCCATTTCCTCATTCTTCTCACTGTGTCTTTGTGTTGGAAGAGGCAAAAGGGTGATTTCTGGGATCTCTTGTATAAGGACACTAATTCCATTCAGGATGGCTTCAACCTCATGACCTAGTCACTTCCAAATACCATCTTATTGGGGATTAAGTTTTAATATATGAATTTGGGGTGCAGGACACAAACATTCACTCTGTACAACAGACATATGTAATAGAGGAAATTCTTTCTTGTTTTTTCTTTTTAGGGCTGGGATGAGTATCATTATTAAAGTTGATTTCTTGGTGTGTTTTTTTGGGTGGTGTCTTTTTTTTTTTCTTCTTGCATTTTTATTCCTTCCCTTCATCATGCTGGCTAATATTTTCTTTGTGATCAACTATATTTTATAATCACTCTTAAATGTTCATTGATAAAAATAAATAATAAATAAATAATTTTGTTAAGACCCTATCTAGTTTGAATTATTTCCAACTCACCCAAAATTTTTTAGATTTGAGTTCATTGCTAGAATTGAAACTAACAGGAACCCTGGTTAAGATGAAAGATTTATATTTAGAAAGTTGATTTTTCCCCTCTCCAAATGTGGTATAATAAAATTGCTTATCAAGACAGATAAATCTCTGACTCTGAGGCATGATACTTCATGGATGCCAGAGGCATTCGGATTCATGCCTCATGCTCCCATGTCCCAGAAGTGTGATATTATCACATTTTAATGCATGCCTTGCCCTGTGTATTTGCATACTTATAAAAGCTTATGCCAGCTGAAATTAGCCTATGCAGCTACTAACATGTGGAAGCATAACAAATTTGCTGGACTTAAAATACTTAAAAAAGCTAATCCTGTTGGAGGAACTTCCAGTCTGTAGCACCCTAGTCACTTAACATTAGATTTTTGCATTTCTTTCTTCTTTGTTTGTTAGTACGATTTTGTGCATCAAATGATTGAGTTACCTAAACTTTTATGTTTGATGGTCTTCTGAACTTCAACTTGTAAAGGGTCAAGTGTTAGTTGAAAGTTATATCTTAATTTAAATAAATAAATGTTAATACTCTGATTTGATGTATAACCTTTTTTATTTTTATTTTTTGCTTGCTCTGTTTTGGATCAGTAAAAGTCATTTAATAATGTGTAATGTTGCCCTAACCAGTTTGGCTCAGTGGATAGAGCATCGGCCTGCAGACTCAAGGGTCCCAGGTTTGATTCCAGTCAAGGGCATGTACCTTGGTTGCTGGCACATCCCCAGTAGGGGGTGTGCAGGAGGCAGCTGATTGATGTTTCTCTCTCATCAATGTTTCTAACTCTCTCTCTCCCTTTCTCTCTGTAAAAAAAAAACACAATAAAATATATTTCAGTAATGTGTAAGATTATAGCAATTTTTATTTATAAGCATAGATTAGAAGCGTAATTGTATCAAAGACTAAAAGTAATAGATACACATTAAAAAATCTTCTATTTGTTGCTTCCTTTTTGGAACTAGATATATTTGCAAGTTTTCCTCATATACTATGAGAAATGAGCACATTTGATATGATATTAATCTACCTTATTCTATTAAGTCTAGTAAAACCTTTAACACTCCATGGAATTTGAAAATTACTAGTGCTTCTATTTAGATTTCTAAATAGAAGATTTTAACAAAGAAATTTATTTTGTTACATGTGGAAAAGTTCTTTGTCTGGGGCTTCTTTATAGATCTATTCTTTCTATAGTAGAAGACAACTACCACTGAGTAAAGATGCCATATTACTATATATGATTAACATTTATTATAACATTTCTCCCGGGACATAGTAAATGCGTGAAAAATGCATTCTGCAAAATGACTCTCACCAAAATAATAGGTTATGGGGAAAATGGAATTGAGGAAGACCAAAAACTGTGCATCTTTAAAACCAGAATATTAACTAAAAATAATAATTATTAACTTACGAGTTAATATAGACAGCCTTGGTTTAAACAGAGTGCTGCTTCAAGAGGATATTAAAGCTGCACAGAAGCAATACTTGAGTGCGAGACAAGGCAGATGGAAATCCACTTCAACATCTGAGCCAGTGGGGCTTCCCTTAAGGAAGTCACAGAGGAAGCCAAGCTCCCATGGAGGCATATAGGGCCAGGAACGTACCTTTCCAGGAAGGGAACCCCAGAACAGCATTCAAACTAAGGCCTGTTTTTTCTGCCAGAGTATAAAATTCTACTCCTACTTTCCTGTCCTCCTTTGCCAAAGAAAAGCACATATTCACCAACTGAATTTTCACTTAGTACTGACATCATTTCCCCATTTACCAATCATACATGAGCTATCTGGTGTTATTGCAGCACAGTGACCATGGAGAACACATGTAGCTAATGTCAGATTTAGATGGAGTTGTGTAATGACACTCCTTATCCCTAACATCACCCCAAGTTTTGTTCTCCTAACTTCTTTGGCTTAAATGTTAGGTATGGTGAACTTTAAGAGGCTGCTGTTCCAATAACCAAACCCTGCTTCTTATGGTTCCTTCTAGGGTATTGTGGGCAATATGGAATTTACCTTAGAATATACTGTTAGAATAGTACTGTAATTAAATTAGCTTTAAGGTCATACTATTAAACACCAAACGTTCATTTCTTATTCCATTTGCCATACCAGTTATGCCAAGCAACAATATCCAAAATAGCTATATATTCTCTGACAAGTTCTTCAGATCCTGCAATGAGATCAAGTGACAGGATTAACATGTTTCAATCACAAAATTTCAATAATATGAAGATACCCTGAATTTGAGTGTTAACTCTTGCCCATTATCATTTTTATGTGAAGAAATTAAATTCCAAGAATTAAAATTCCCAAGAAATTAAAATACAAATTTTAAAAGTCTACACAGAAAGTGAATGACAAAATCAAATAATCTTACCTTTATAAGCTAAAATCCAATAAAAGTTCAAACTCCGTAGGTTAAAATTCAAAGAAATTAAGTTCCTGTCTACTTTTTATTCTTCTCAGTGTCAGCCAGATGGTTTCTAGATGCCTGGTTTGAGCTGGAATTTCTCCAGTTGCTACCGTCTGGGCTCCTGCTGTGGGTGTCATCCCTGGGGACCTCGGAAGTTGAGTTGGGTCTACACCAGTTTTATCATGTGCCCTCCTTCCAACTGAACCGAAAGATAATCACAACATCAGAATCACACCCAGCACATTCAGAACAGCAATCCTCAGTTTCTAATGTGGCCAATCCTAGCAAAATGATGTTTCCAAAACACCATGTTTGGCATGATCCTGAACCCTGGCATTACTGACAAAGACCATAGTAGAGACTAAGGGAAGGAAGGCAAAGAAGAGAAAACATTCTTTATGTCAGTCTTTTCAAGAAGCTAGTTGATTTATGCTGTTGAGCAGGGACTATGACCTGTGACTGGGAAGCAATCTCCCATTTAGGCATTAATTATAATACTATGTATTTATGATGCCTTGAGGGGAAAACTGACCAGGGCACCCTATCTCCTCTCTCTAAGAGGCTGCCCGAAGTGTTGGTTAAGTGCTCTGATTTTGGAGCCAGAGTTCATATTCCAGTTATGTCACTTATTATGTGACCTTGGACAGATTAGTTTCTCTGAGAGTCAGTGTTCTCATCTAAAAATTAGAGATTATAGTACTTATCTTAATAGGTTGTTTTAAAGCCTAAATGAATTCTATGTGAAGTCCTTACAACAAGTGCCGGGTACTTGGTAAGCATTATAACATCGTTATTATTGCTGCTAATCTTCTTCTTCTTCTTAAAGAGGGCACTGAGGACGTAGCATCATTGGGACTTTGGAAATTTATATTGGTGGCAGGCTGAGTCACAAAGTCTTGTTTGAGCTACTGTTTTTTCCTTTTGAAAGGTGTTCTAAACATCTTCGTGTCCTTTCCCCTCTGAGTTCCATGTTTCCAGACCCCATGCTGAAATGGCGGTGGGCCCTGTCTTGTGTGGCACAGCTTTACCACGTCCTGGGGGCACTATTTTCAATCCTGGGTCACAGTGGCTGCTGTAACAGCCTATGGTGAGAGGATTATTTAAGCCTAAGAAACATTACTTCATGGATTCAGCTTTCCCTTCATCTCGACATCGGTTTCAATGAGAGAATAGCTTTTGGTGAGTTTCTGAATTGCATTGGCTGTTCATATTGTTGAGTCTCCTTTTCTTAGGAGGCCAGTGAGGACCAATACTACTGCCATTTCTTCCTGAAGACATGGCTTTCCTCCTGGTCCTGAGTTAATGATTTTGTCCCTCTTTCCTGCAGTTTGTAGGATTTGCCTCTACTGTACTCTTGTTCCTTTTAGGAAAGTTTCCTTCTCTGACAGGCTCAGGGCTGCATTGTTTGCTGCAGTGGAGTTCTTTTTATTTTTATTTTTTATTTTTTTCCCTTTTACTTTCCTTTGCTTTCTGATCCACACTTGTGTTTTTCTAACATCTTCCTCTAGATATTTTTCTTGCCTGACCTCTCATAGTGAGAGATATCAAGTCGATAAGTTCCAAGTTTGTCAATAGCATTCTTTGTTCAAACCAGTCTTACCCATTTTCACCTCCCCGAGTTAAATAATCATACCCAGGATGTATTTTCCCACCATCCAACATCTAATTTGATCTGGACTCTGATCTATTATTGTTCTGCCTGGATCCCTGTAATATAATTCATCCCACCATTGCCTTTTC